GAAATCGTCATGATGGAAACCGAAACCACCGGAATCGAAGTCATCGGAATAGGAATCGAAACCACCGGAAACGAAATCATCGGTGTCGGAATCGAAACCACCTGAATCGGAATCGAAATACTTAATCGAAATCGGGATCGAAACCACTGGAATGGAAATCGTCGAGGTGGAAATCGAAACCACTGCAATCAGAATCAAAACTACCTGAATTGGAATGGAAATAATCGGAATCGAAGCCACTGGATTCGAAACCATCGGAATCCGAATCGAAACCACCTGATTCGGAATCGAAACCACCTGATTCGGAATCTAAATAATCGGAATCGGCATTGTAACCACTGGTATTCAAATTAATTTTTTTACCGAAACCACCTGAAACGAAATCATCGGGGTCGGCATCGAAACCACATGAATCGTAATCGAAACCACATGAGTCGAAACCGAATAACTGGAATCGGTATCGAAACTACCGGTACCGAAATCGTCGAAATGGAAATTAAAACAATCTAAATAATCGGAGTAGGAATCGAAACCACCGGAAACGAAATTATCGGAATCGAAACCACCTGAATCGGTGTCGAATAATTGGAATCGGGACCGAAACCACTGGTATCAAAATCGTCTGGATGGTAATCGAAACCATCGGAAGCGAAATTGTTGGAATCGGAATTAAAACCACCTGATACAAAATCATCGGGATCGGAATAGAAACCGCCTGATTCGAGATCGTAACCACCGGGATCAAAACCATCAGTATCGGAATCTAAACCACCTGAATCGGAATCCATATAATGGGAATCGAAATCGTCGGGATGGAAATCGAAACCACCTGAATCGGAATCTAAATAATCGGATTCGGGATCGAAACCACTGGTATCATTATCATCGGAATCGGAATCAAACCTACCTTAATTGGAATTGAAATCATCGGAACCGAAACCACTGGATCTGAAACCATCGGAATTGGAATGGCAACCACCGGAAACGGAGTCATGGGGATCGGAATCGAAACCACCTGAATGAGGAACGAAATCATCGGGATCGAAACCACCTGAATCGGAATCGAATAACTGGAATCGGCACCGAAACCACTGGTATCAAAATCGTTTGGATGGAAATCGAAACCATCGAAATTGAAATTATTGGAATCGGAATCAAAATCATTTTAAACGAAATCATCGGGATCGGAATCGAAACCACCTGATTCGATATCGTAACGACCGGGATCGAAACCATCGGTATCGGACCCGAAACCACCTGAATCGGAATCGATATAATCGGTTGCGATGGGTTATTTTTAACAAAGAACTATTGAATTTATTTAGCTAATGACATTTATATCTTCTGTCAAGTTTGACACTGAAAACACACCGTATATTCATCCTTATACAATTTGGACGCTACATCAACTTGTTTGCCATTCATTCCACACGTAATATTCGAATCGATACCATGTTTTGTCTCCATCAGAAGGCTAACTAGGTGCATCTGATCTGTTTTAATAACACACCTTGAGTTAGGTAATCCTACAAAGTATTAATCATTTTTTATTAAATAAAGAACGAACGTACGCTTAATTAACGATGACGTTCTTCACACAAGACAGATAATAATCACTAATTACCGCGTAATTTGCCGAGGTAATTACCTATAGTACGGTCGAATTAGATTAACTATGAAATGTTTATTTGTAGTAGTTGTCGATGTCATTTATACACATTTTTCAAAGGACTTCGATAAAATTGATCATGGTGTTTTGTTAAAGAAATTGCCGAGGTAATTACCTATAGCACGGTCGAATTAGATGAACTATGAAATGTTTATTTGTAGTAGTTGTCGATGTCATTTATACAAATTTTTCAAAGGACTTCGATAAAATTGATCATGGAGTTTTGTTAAAGAAATCAGGTCACTTTTTATTCACAGTACTATAAAATTCTTTAGATCCTATCCATCAGGGTGGAAGCAATACGTAGCTTATAATGGATTCAAGTCAGAAGCCTACTCAGCTCCATCCGGTGTTCCTCAGGGGTCTAAATTGGGACCACTTTTATTTCTATTGTTTATTAATGACCTTTGATAGTTGCAGAGCTGTTCGGACATTCAAACCTTGGAGTTCAGAAGAGATGTTTCATCTGCAATATTTCTTTTTAAACTAATACGTGGCATCACCGACTCCCCAGATATTCTAGCGCAAATTTATATTAATGTACCTCCGTTTTATGTCACTTTTAAACCATCTAGAGCAAGAACCAAGGTTATGTTTGAAAATCTCAATAGGGTTAGCTGTCATTGCGATATATTTATATCTTCTCATAGCGTAGCAATTGGGATGTCTCGTCAGTATTTTTATTAATATTAATACAATTTCCCGTTTTTATCAGGTGAGTTTTGTTCGCAGACCAATGAACCTGTATCATTGCCGGTGGGGTCATTAAAATTTACAAAGTGTTTCGGTGCTATCGTGCGCTACGATCTTTCCGCTGGTTTCCTGCTGTCCGAAACAGGCTGCACATCGCGGTATATGGTCGGCCTTGCCACTTCCAGGTTACAGGACGATTTTACAGTCTAGTAGATGCATTAGATTTGCCAGATTCACTCGAAAAATGAAATTTTTCTGGCCAAGCTCAAGCAGTCAGGATGCGGATTTTCTGGAGACCAATAATGCATAAAAATTCTCTATTTTCGCGTAAAGCAAAATGACATGGTTGGGGTAGGTAATTAAAAAAAAATAAATAAATAAATTCCTATATTTTGATGGGCATTAGAGCTTACCTGTGGTCCTTCAAAATATTTTGAACCGTTGTTCGTGATATGCCCAACTCAAAGGGTAATGTTCTGGCATTTAGGCTTCTCACTGCGCGGCTACTCCGGTGTAAAAAAAGTAACGATCACAATAATTGATTTAATAATCACAATTTTTTGTAACAACGTTCGAATTCAAAATTAAAGTAGATAAGTTTCTTAGTTAAAGTTGGTTGGCCTGCGCGGTCTCTGGGCAATCGTCGGCGCAGCGGAATGTGTACGCGTTCACAGCTCCGTGCAGAGCTCTATTCGGCTTTTTAGTAGTGGTGTTCACTATAGGGTTCTCGATTGTGTGTGCTTTAGTGCTGTGATAAGTGTCTTAGTTGAACTTGGTTGGCCCTTTTCAGTATCTGTCATAGTGGAAAACCGATATCTACGAATGAATTGGAGAACGGCTTCCTATTCGATGCGCATTTCAATACTTCTAAGAATCGGTATTACAAAAGATAGAGCACCGGATAAAGTAGTTGATGAAACCTTTGGTTCATATTTGAAATGGGATATTCTTTGGGACAGAAAAGGATATAACCATAACGATACTTCGTCGTCTATCATCTATTGCAGCGAGAAGAATACATAGCTATGATAAATTTACCGGGATATCGCAGATCTTTTGTTTTTAGAAAACGTTAAAATGTGCAAAAGACAAATGGTAGATCAAAGTAAGTTTTTCAGATAATACAAAGACGGCACCATATGTTTGCACCCGGTGTATTCCATATCAGCCTGACACTGTATAATGGTGCAAATATGCATAACAAGGAATTTGAAAAAATTATATTGTGTTTTATACGCTCCGGTCTCTGGGCAATCGTCGGCGCAGCGGAATGTGTACGCGTTCACAGCTCCGTGCAGAGCTCTATTCGGCTTTTTAGTAGTGGTGTTCACTATAGGGTTCTCGATTGTGTGTGCTTTAGTGCTGTCATAAGTTTCTTAGTTAAACTTGGTTGGCCCTTTTCAGTATCTGTCATAGTGGAAAACCGATATCTACGAATGAATTGGAGAACGGCTTCATATCCGATGCGCATTTCAATACTTCTAAGAATCGGTATTACAAAAGATAGAGCACCGAATAAAGTGGTTGGTAAAACCTTTTGTTCATATTTGAAATGGGATATTCTGTGGGACAGAACAGGATATAACCATAACGATACTTGTCATCTATCATCTATTGCAGCGAGGAGAATACATAGCTATGATAAATTGACCAGGATATCGCACATCATTTTTTGTACGTTAAAATGTGCAAAAGACAAATGGTAGATCAAAGTAATTTTTTCAGATAATACAAAACGGCACCATATGTTTGCACCCGGTGTATTTCATATCAGCCTGACTGTATAATGGTGCAAATATGCATAACAAGGAATTTGAAAAAATTATATTGTGCTTTATACGCTCCGGTCTCTGGGCAATCGTCGGCGCAGCGGAATGTGTACGCGTTCACAGCTCCGTGCAGAGCTCTATTCGGCTTTTTAGTAGTGGTGTTCACTATAGGGTTCTCGATTGTGTCTCAGTGGTGCTTTAGTGCTGTGATAAGTTTCTTAGTTGAACTTGGTTGGCCCTTTTCAGTATCTGTCATAGTGGAAAACCGATGTTTACGAATGAATTGGAGAACGGCTTCCTATCCGATGCGCATTTCAATACTTCTAAGAATCGGTATTACAAAAGATAGAGCACCGAATAAAGTAGTTGATAAAACCTTTTGTTCATATTTGAAGTGGGATATTCTGTGGGACAGAACAGGATATAACCATAACGATACTTGTCATCTATCATCTATTGCAGCGAGGAGAATACATAGCTATGATAAATTTATATATCGCAGATCTTTTTTTTAGGAAACGTTAAAATGTGCAAAAGACAAATGGTAGATCAAAGTAAGTTTATCAGATAATACAAAACAGCACCATATGTTTGCACCCGGTGTATTTTATATGAATTTAAAATACGTTTACTAAGAAAACTGCTCTCTAAAATTAGTAAACGGAAATATATCCTACGCGTTACTTTTTTACGAACATCTATTTAACGATTGACAGAAGATATTTCGTATCCTGTTTTTTTAATAAATCATCTTGAGCTGTGAACCATATAAATGGCATGTTAAGTTACCGTATAGTCATGCCTTGACAAAAAATATTGATCAAACTAAAATGACATGCGAAATTCGGAAAAAATAGTTTATAGAAAAAATGGGGGCTCAACATCCTACACCAAGCGACAAGCCGGTCTCAAAGATGAAAAAGAAGAAGTAAATAATGCTAATGAACTGTTATATGACAATTATGTTGACGATCAAGTACATGTTGAGTATTATGCAATTAAACTCCATTTTCTTTAAGTATGTTCCGAATGTCGTATAGGCAGCTTTTAGTTTTACAGTACTGTACCTTGACGAACAAAAAGCGTGCTAGCGCTCACCTGGTTTGGATGGATGCCAGCTTATAATGATAACGATGCAACAAAGGCAAAACGTCTGCAGTTTCCAACGACATATGATCTGGCTTGCCAGCAGATCATTTTTTCTAAAAAATGCATCTTGCTTCATTCCTCGGTAGGAGCCGGTAATATAATCTCGCATATTTTAGACCAGTCACTATAGATTCGCTATTTCAGTCACGAATTGTCTTGGAACAAGGACGTATTAATTCCTTTCCGTTTTTGATCTGCATTGCAATGTGGCACCAAGCCACAGCATGTTCAATAATCAATTTATTTTCGATACTGCTGCCACCAATTTTGTTTTACCAGAAAATGTAAAGCTTTTGTAGCATTTCAATCAAAATTAGGCAAGAAACCTGATTCCAGGATTTATGTAAAAGGTATAACATTAATTTCTCGAAATAAATGCATCGTGGCTTAGGTACCTTATCGATTAATGTCCAGTTTTGTTACTTGATATAAGATACTTCCTTTCATCGTAGGAAATCCAAGTATCACAATTATAATTCCTCGTAGACCCCTGTATATAAAAGTTTCCAGATACAGGAATTTCATCAACTACCTCATAAATTAATGAATGAGTTGTTTACTTTTCTACAATAGTCCACCTGCTCAAGGTGTATTTACCTCCGTATCGGGCTTTCGTCCATTCCATAGCCAAACCATAATTTCACGCTAACTCTGAGCTCAGTCGTTGACACGAATAGCTGTTTTATTGTTTCCTACATGTTTGTTCTATGTAAATATTTCAAATTATGTTTCTTCTGATATTTATGATTGTACAGGGTGAAAAACGTGGCGATATAAAGTAGATAAAAAAATAACTCCAAAGGGGCATATAAACTGCAACGTTATTTGATTTAAATGTGCGACATTCAATTCATTCTGTATAACGTACTAACATTCTAGCAAACATACTAAAATGGTAACAAATCGAGTTAAATAAAAGTTTGTAAGCATCAGATGTACCGTAAATGTTATCCTGATTATTTCATTTTGTTGCGGTAAGGAAAACGTTTGATGAATGAAATCTGACGCAAACACATTGTAGGCGGACCAAGGTAAGGCTTACTTTAACGAGCACATTCATTTGAATATATTTGTTTCGATTTTCATTCATATGCTTCACAGGATATGTGTCAATAATGTGTTTATTAAGAAACGGTAGCTTGGTGGTAAAGGGAGTGCAAGATACCGCATTCTTAGATTGGCTTCGTCATCGGACATTTATTATTCAATATCTTCTTATACGTGAGTCACGATGAAGTCCTGTGATTTAAGTCCAAAAGGAAATTTGCCGGGAAAAGTCTTTCATGCATGCGATTTTTTGCTGAGGTCTTCATCAGTGTTTGATAAAGGCTTGAGATCAAAATTTGTTGACATCTTAGACTTTACCAAAACATTTCATTTTATCAGCTAAATTAAAATATAGTTTTTTCTGATTCTTCAATAATTACTATGTTGAGTAACAGAAACGGATTTCAGAAAGTTGTTATTGATATCAACTTATCACCAGAAACTTTGATATCCTCGGGAGTACCCCAAGGAACGGTGCTTGGACCACTCCTTTTTATTCTTTACATAGCTGATCTAGGCAAAGTGGTAAAATATTGCAATATAAAATTCTATGATCCTGAATTATACAACAATTTCAATGATGACAAAATTATAGTTACAGAATATCAAATCAACGATGGTTTAAAATCTGCCTATAATGCATGTTTTGTTATAGATATAATGATAGGTTTATATCAGCCTGACTGTATGATGGTGCAAATATGCATAACAAGGAATTTGAAAAAATTATATTGTGCTTTATACGCTCCGGTCTCTGAGCAATCGTCGACGCAGCGGAACGTGTACGCGTTCACAGCTCCGTGCAGAGCTCTATTCGGCTTTCTAGTAGTGGTGTTCACTATAGGGTTCTCGATTGTATAGTTATAGAATATCAAATCAACTATGGTTTAAAGGCTATTGTTAATTACGAAAAAAGTTTAAATCCGACAAAACCAAAAGTTACCGTATTTTCTCACAAAAATGTTTGATAGCCTGTCATGATGAAGGTACCGTAAGCAATGTTTAATTTCCATGTCTTACGTACAACAATATATCTTGCTTAAAATTCCTCCTAGACAATTTGTCTACCTTTCCTACCAGCTCGACTTGACCTTGCAATTCCATATCGGAACGACATAGTAAAGTTCAATAGTAACGACACGTCTAACTGCAATGAGGTTCAATAATAGAGAAAGTATGCATAGTATGTGGTTTTTTAAGTACCTTAAACTGAGAATTTAGATCAAGTCTGGTCAATGCTAATAACTGTTACAAATCTACCTATAATGCATGTTTTGTTATAGATAGAATGATAGCTTTATATCAGCCTGACTGTATAATGGTGCAAATATGCATAACAAGGAATTTGAAAAAATTATATTGTGATTTATACGTTTGCGTTGCTGTACACGCTCATTTTTTTCATTGTGCATATTATAGACATGTAGCAGTGTGTACTGCTAGGTATGTATGATTATAACCTTGTAGCTCGTGTGTAGACTTTCGTGTTTATGTTTAATAACTAGTTTATATATCGTAGTAAACGAAAATAATTTGATATCAATTTTGATTTTATAATTTTTTTTTAATTCTTATGATTTTGCTCGTTATGTCAGTTCAATCGGTGGATGTAGTTAAACAATTTATATTTTGAAATTATTAATTATAACTTAATGGTTTGCAATGTTGATGTTCACACAATTTTATAAGTCTACGTGAACCTTTTTTTTTGTTTAGATTCGCCCGGAGCGGAAAAACCGTTTTTGGAATTTGTTCAGACAATTTTGGACCTGACAATATACAGGGTGTCCGCAAAGTTGGGGTTTTCCTTTTCAGAAACGACTACCCTTGAAATAACAAAGGTAATGTGTAGTGAAACGAGGGCGACCAAGTAAAAAAAAAGGAAAAAGTACTCACTCTCCAGTTGACGAGAAGGGCTAAGTACGTCTCTGCCCGAAATCATACCGCTCCAACAGAAAACGAAATCAGCTGATGCGCTACCGAGCAGACGCAGGCAAACAAGGAAGGCAAAATGTTGCGTAAAAAGTCTAGGTATTGCATCCCGTCCAATCGATTTGGGAGAATAAATGGTCCAATAAGCATACCGTTCACCATGCCAGCCCAAACATTCACCGAAAATGTTTGTTGAAAATGTGCCCGACGGACAGCGTGCGGATTTTCTACTGACCAAACATGAGTGTTGCGAAAGTTATTCACCCCATTACGCGTGAACGTAGATTCGTCTGTCACCAATATGCACTTCAAAAAGTCCGGATTATTGTCATGTTGATGCAACAACCACTCACAAAATCGCACTCTTTACGCAACGTTTGCCACACTTTAGTTTTTGATACTAGCACTTCTCTAGCCACGTCTCTAGTGCTTGTTGAGGGATTCTCGTCTACGCGATTACCTCTAGACGCGTGACCGTAACCGTCGGTTGAAGGTTGCATACTGACCTGACACACTGACCCCGACCCAGTTCTGTCGTCGGGTTGAGCTAGTGTCCTAGTACCACTCGGGGATATCGCGGCTACAGGACGGTATTCAGATATTTTTGATGTTGCAGAGCCCTTTATCTCGGTTCCCTTAAGACATTGGTGTATATGGTACTAAGAAAAATTGCTTATGTTTTCAAGATCTACACGTCGTGTAAAGGAAAACCCCAACTTTGCGGACACCCTGTATATTTTGTAAGATATCCGATATATTATCTAGCGTTGGATAGGTACATCTTTCATTGATGACCTGTCAAAATTTCATGACCAGCGAACCACTTCACGCGGAGTTATCGCGCTCAAAGTGACAGTACCTTTTTAGCATCGAACAAAGAGCGAATATTAAGTTTTGTGTTAAACAAATTGGTTAAGGCTTTCGCGGCCAGTTGATAAACTGCTGTCTTGATTCGGGTCTAAAGGCCGTCGTCGGTTGGAATTTCTTCCTAACGTTTCGCTAGCACGAGTGGCAAGCGTCTTCAAAGGTCCTTCCATTTCTTTAGCTGGATGTAGACTGACGATTTTTCTTGCGCAGGTTGTATTTATACCTGAAAGAGACTATTTTGAATAAAATAAATTCGACTTTCCGTAACAAAAACTGTTTATTCATTTTTTCCTTTGTCCAGTTTACTTTGTGACAGACCTTGTACGATTGTAAGAATATGCAAAAATTGAATCAGAGTATTCTTCCAAGCGAATGCAAAGATAATGCTTGGACTGGGCTAGAGGCGTTCGGTTTAATGTGGATTCAAGTTTCGTTGCCCACGTTGACCAGACTATTACTTTCCATCTTTCGGTTCTTCCCGCTTTGGTTAAGCTATTGGATATAGCTGCGCTATCTAGCGGAATGAACGTAACCTTCTTTCATTGCAATGAAGTGTGCGCCAATACGAGCAAGCTGGCTTGTTCGAAAACCCGAGAGGTGTCGCTGCAAGTTTCGAACGTGGAATTTGTCGATGTCATGGGCGTACGCAGGAATTCTTTGAAAGCCAAAAAACAGCTCCGCAAGAAAAATATGAACAAAGATAAAGAAAACTATTATTTAGCACGCTCAAGTCGCGAAGCTTTGAATAAAATATTTTGGGGATACCAATGGAGATGGGTTGTCCAATAGGGACGCGGGAAAGTAAACGTCAATTTGACATAGACGCCATCTTTGTTTTCTGTCACCGACATGTCATTTTGTTAGTTGAATGCTTACCATTGATCGCTATGGAGTCGTATTCGATTGAAGACCGCATTAAAGTTATTCAAGAGC